TTAAAAGGAATTTAAACTGAGGGCAGAGAAGGACAAGGAGAAACTACACATCACAACCAAATAAGTTATTAAGATGATAGTCGACTAGTTTCGATCATAATAATGATCTTCATCAGGACAAAAATTGGTTGAAAAATGATCAGTTAAGTACTAAAAAAGTTGTTACAGAAAGTCATGTGAGTTACTAAAAATAGTAACATATTTAATAACATAAAACTAGAATGTTGTCAGGAGTCAACGTGTTTGAAAATATCTATAAATAGAAACAATACCGTTAGTAGTGTTTGTTTTAGTTGACTGTTTATTCATAATATACAGAATTTATTTTAGTTTGATTTTGTAGGAAGCTATTAGCTTATAAACACACTATTGAATCTTAAAATGGGCTATTGAAAATTTTCATGTGACCTTTTAACAATTGGAAAATGATAAGGCTTATTAGTAGTTAATATGATCTGGTATGTGTGTCTCTCAAGCCAGGAAGTTTGGGTTTGAGACCATAGTCATTATGTTTCTGCTTACCAATATCACACTAGTATTGTTAATGATCAGAAGTTAAGTCATGGTTTTTTATAACCTCCATATAATTAGCTAATTTTTTTTGAAGAAAATGTCGGGCTATTATTATTGCTATATTGTCATTGTCGTTGCGGTGCAAAAACCTTAAATTTAGCCCGTAATTCAAACAATTTAAAAGTTATCATTATGAAACTTGGAATACTTGTTTATCATGATATAATATTTATATACATGTAATGTATCTAAAAACTAATTACACAAAAAAGTAGTGTTGAACGTCACCATAAATAATTAGTTGGCAGCAGAATGGTAAAATGAAACCTGGACTAGTTAAATTGCTGACAATTTTTGTGAAATAAAACCTGCTTTATACAAAGAAAAACGGTTTACTTGAAAATTTTGTAGAAACCTTAGTTAAAGTGATAAAAAAAACTTCTGAAGTAAATGTTAAAATTTTGTAGAAACCTTGGTTTATGTGATAAAAAAAACTTCTGAAGTAAATATTAAAATTTGTTGAAACCTGAACTTACATAAATTGATTAATGAAAGATATTATCCACTGATGGAAATTGATTTAATTGTTTTCTTTTTTGCAGACTAGCTCTGAAGGTTCTACTGATGTGACTTCCTCGACACAAGGGGAATTAGAGGATGGCAGTGAAAATGACTGGCGTGACAGAGCCGAAGAAAACCGTCCCGTGTTTATCATGGGGGACGAAGAAATCAGCAGATATACTCCAGTGCATGTAAGTTTTCATAGATAAAATTTGTTACTTTTTTTTACTGTAATAGATTGGCATACCTTATAAATATTGTCTTGTCTGTTTTTGTTTCTGTCCCTGCATGTGCACATAGCTGTAATTGTTTAATTGTTGCCATATCATCTTTGATCTGAAAGCTAGAGAATTTATACATACTTGTTGGTGCGATGGTTCTTTGTGAATCATTGTTTAATATGACCATCACCAGGATTTTAAATTATATGAAAATTCAGTAAAATTCAAAGTTATTATTTGGTTGCAGATTTGGTAAGGGGGGAAGGTGGAGGCTTTTGTGTTTTAATAAAAGTTAATTGTTATATATTAAATATTATAGTGAAAGTTATATATATTTATATATTGTATAGACAGCGAGTCACAATGAAATTAATGCTATGTACTTAAAAAAAAAAAATAAGTACAGATTCAATAGAAGTGACATTTGCATACATAAGATTATGTCTGTTCTCTACCTTGAACATTTAACACTTTGATGAAAAAACATAACTTGACATGAACAGTTGCGTGACATACACTTGCTCAGAAACACATGCTCAAAATAGAACTCAAATTTTCAATTTTATAAAATTTACATGGACACACATTTTGATTTGGACATGTCTGAACTCTCAGATGACATCCTGTATTATGCCATGTATATGTTTTAATGTTTAGGCCTCATTCAAATTTAGGACATAAATATCGACTCTACAGAAGCCAAAAGGTGACATCTTTGCAATTATTACATTGTATTAGCTCACCAGAACCGAAGGTTCAGGGTGAGCTATTAGTATCAAAGGGGGATGCTCCAGCGTCCATCGTCATGCGTCAACAATCATCTTCTTCTCTGAAACTGATGGGCAGATTTACTTCAAATTCAGTCTGTAGCATCCTTGTGACAGTCACGCTTGAATTTGCTCATGTCATTACAATTGGCCCCTTTTAGGGGTCAACAGAGCTAAAAATAGAAAAACCTTTAAACATCTTCTACTACAGAAGTAATTGATGGATGATCACCAAACTTTTTTGGGTAGTCTTTTATCAAGTTTGCTGATATTAATTTGATTGGCCCCTTTTAGGGGTTCTCTAGGGCTTAAAATAGAAAAACCTTTAAACATCTTCTTGTACTGAACTAATGGATGGATGATCACCAAACTTTGTCTGTAGCATACTTTGGTACTCTTTTTATCAAGTTTGCTCATATTATTTTGATTGGTCCCTTTTAGGGCCCCCTAAAGCTAAAAAATAGAAATACCTTTCAACGTCTATTTCTTCAGAACTAATTGATGGATACTCAGCAAACTTTGTCTGTAGCATTCTAAGGTAGTCTTTAATATCAAGTTTACTCATATTCATGTGATTGGCCCCTTTTAGGGGTCAACAGAGCTTAAAATAGAAAAACCTTTAAACGTCTATTTCTACAGAACTAATTGATGGATGATCACCAAACTTTGTCTGTAGCATTCTTAGGTACTCTTTTGTCAAGTTTGCTTGTAATAATTTGATTGGCCCCTTTTAGGGGCCACTAAAGCTAAAATAGAAAAACCTTTGAACATTGTTTCCTACTGAAATAATTGATAGATGATCACCAAAGTTTGTAGCATTCTTAGGTAGTCTTTTATCAAGTTTGCTCATATTAATTTGATTGGCCCCGTTTAAGCTAAAGTTTAAATGCCCCAGGTCATGGCATTTCTTCAAATTATTGTTTAAACATATTCTTTGCTCAAATTTAATATTAGAAAATATTGACAATGGATAATTTTCAACACTGTAAAACAGTTGTTTCTGGTGAGCGACTCAGGGCCATCATGGGCCCTCTTGTATTTTATAACACTGTGGTCATTGAAAGGGTAGGGCCATAAAACCTGGCAATAATCTTAATTACTATTAAACATGTCTTTAACCCTTTCCCACATGGACAAGTGTTTAAACGTATGTGCCACCAGTGCAGATCCAGATCAGCCTCCACATCCATGCACTTGGATCAGGATCTCCATTGTTCACATTCAAATTAATAAAAGAATTTCTGACTGAAAACAAGATTGGAGACCCTGATCTGACTGCATGGAGGTACAGGCTGATTGGATTAAATCTGTGTTAAAACATGTGTCCATGTGGTAAAGGATTAAAAATTCCCCCTTTTGAAACTATATCGCCTAGAGCATAGTTATTACATAGCATGTAGCATAACCTTGTGGTCCGCTAAAATAATTATTTAACTCCTTTTTTTTGGGGGGGGGGGGGGGGTCAGAACTAAGACATTTTCACGTGGCATTTCTTAGTGGACCTCTACAAATATTGTATAAAGAATGCAGATAGGGTAAAAATGACATCCTAAATGCAGGGCTTCCATTAGTGTAAGTTTGGAAATCATTTACTCCCAATTTTTCCTTGTGACTTCCAAAATTTCAAGATTTTCCTTCTTTACCTATATACCAAGACTTCCAATTTCAGAGACTTGGCAGTGTCTGACTTCCAAATTTTGGAACTTAGTGGAAGCCCTGTAAATGACCTCATTCAGCTGCAAGTCAGCCGAGTCGTTTGATTTTGAAAAAGACACATGATTTATTGCGGAATGACATCATGTGTTCTTTTGTGAGTCTTCATTCAAAATGCCAGGTACACGTAACATCACATCAGCTTAACACTTTGGAACCATTTTAAATTTCATGCTTTGTTCCAAAACATTTTCTATTTACATTTTCTTCAAATTGAAAGACAATGTTTTCTTATCTCTGTATACTAATACTGTACAACAGTTAGATTTCATGTAATTAGTTTACCAAGACTTAATATCATGGAATGGATCTCAATTTCGGGGTATAAATGCAAGATTAAAATGGGAAATTCCAACATTTCTTTCTATTGCACCTCAATTAATAAACTTCTTCAGTATGGATTTAAGTCATGTATAAATCTGCATTTGATTTCACATTCATAAAATCAACATGTCTTTATCCATGATTTAATATTTTATACATTTTGTTTACACAGAAATCATTAAGCAATGTTATGAATTATTGAGGCATTTATTTATGCATAAAATGATAAATTCTGTGTTAACTCATACACATCACCTTTTTTTTTGCATATAAAAGAACATTTACATCCTTATTACCCTAAATATTTTAAATGGACTTGCCTCTATTTCAATTTGGACAAAACTATTAATCATTTCTAGGGAAAATGATAAAAATGTGCACTAGTGACTGAAAGGGAAGACCATAATTAGATTACACAGATGTGTTTTCTGATCTTGATCAGCATGGGTCAGATTGGACTTGGTCTGCCCTGGGCAGACTTATCTTGATCTGCACTGGTCAAACTGACCTCGGTTTATAAGTTATCATAAATAAAGCAAACATAATAAGTTTACTTTAAGTGCAGATGAGTCTTTATGTGGATAAATATTTTGACAGATCCGTAACATAAAAAACCTTGTAGATAAGTGCACATTATTTGAAATAACTAACTGTATTAAAGTTACAATTATAATCATCAGAGGTGATATAGTAAATCATGGAGGTAATTATTAATGGTCTGTTTAATATACCCTTTTCAAAATGTTACGCAAATTGCAATTTTTGTTTAAATAAAAAGAGCGTAAAGTTGCTATAAAGTATTATACAAAATGACAGCCATCAATGAGTTTCATACTAGACCGTGTTGGAAGAATTATGTCATAAAATTATGTGTGAAATCAGAGTTTTATTTAATGTATACACATGAAACAGATAGAGGGCTTTTATATAGCATTTATATATCTCATTTCGTAACTTTTATGTTGTGGATATATAATGTTAGAGATTTGAATATGGATGATGGATATTTTAGATACATAAGAGAGGATTTTTTAAAATTGTTGATACAAAACTATATGGTAAAGTTACTACTAATAAGTATACTCCTTATTACTGGTATTAAAGGCCCATTATGCCTCAGAAATGCTTTCAATTAATTTTCTCAAAAACTTTTATTTAAATTTTTTTCGTCTGGTATCTGATGACAGTTTCCTTAAACTACTTTTTGCCATATACCGGTATGCATGATTTTTTTTTAGCTCACCTGTCACAAAGTGACAGGGTGAGCTTTTGTGATCGCTTTTCGTCCGGCGTCCGTCCGTCCGTAAACTTTTACTTTAAATGACATCTCCTCATAAACCACTAAGCTAATTTCATCCAAACTTCACAGGAATGTTCCTTTGGTGGTCACCTTTAAAAATTGTTCAAAGAATTTAATTCCATGCAGAACTCTGGTTGCCATGGCAACCAAAAGAAAAAAATTTAAATATCTTCTTTTAAAGAACCATAAGAGCTAGAGCTTAGATATTTAGCATGAAACATGTTCTAATTGGTGTCTACCAAGTTTGTTCAAATAAAAGCCCTGGGGTCAAAATTGACCCCGCCCCGGGGGGTCATTGATTTTCCCTATATGCATATAGTAAAAACTTAAAAAATCTTCTTTTAAAGAACTAAAAGAGCTATGTCTAAGATATTTAGCATCAAACATGTTCTAATAGGTGTCTACCAAAATTGTTCAAATAAAAGCCCTGGGGTCAAAATTGGCACCGCCCCGGGGGTCATTGATTTTCCTTATATGTGTATAGCAAAAACTTAAAATCTTCTTTGAAAAAACCCAAATAGCTAGAGTTTAGATATTAAGCATGAAACATCTTCTAGAAAGTGTCTACAAAGTTTGTTTAAATAAAAGCCCTTGGGTCAAAACTGGCCCGGCCCCAGGGGTGTCATTGTTTTTAACTATGTGTGTGTAGTAAAAACTTTATAAAAATCTTTTAAAAAGCCCAATGAGCTAGAGCTTAGATGTTTAGCATGAAACATCTTCTTATAGGTGTCTACCAAGTTTGTGCAAATAAAAGCCCTTGGGTTAAATTGGCCCTGCAACGTTGGGGGGGGGGGGTTGGGGGGGCCTATATACAGGTGAGCGACCTCAGGGCCATCATGGCCCTCTTGTTTCTTTTGCTACTTTTGTTCTGTTGGCATTTGGTATATTATTATAGTGAATTAGTATTTTGTATGGAAGTTAAAATACTACTTTGTTTACATTTTGCTACCTTTACGACACATTACTGCACATTTATTCTCCAGTTGTTTAACATCTTCATGCAGTGCTCTAAATCCATTATTTAAAATTAAACATTATTAAAACAAAATGTTTGACATTTCTTAATAATTTTTAAATAGATATGAATTTTTGAGGCATAAGATATATATATTTAATATGCCGTTAATTACAGTTTATAACTTTATTTCATCATTTGTAATTGGTTCAGAATTTCCTTTAATCTTCTAGTGCAGTATCTGGTTAACCCCATATACAATGAAAAGTTTAAACCTGTTATTGCACTAAGGTGACATATATCTGGTTTGCCACAAGGTTTGAGCCAGGCTGGTTGGCACATTTGTGCAATCTGACCAGGTTTTATAAGGTTTGCTGATCCAGGTTTAAAGCAACATGCCTCCATATTCTTGCTTATTTTCATGAAAAATTTTTAAAAATGTATTAAAAAACAAGATATTTTCAAACAAACAAAGTGAACACATGGCAATCAGCACTTATAATTTACGTAATTTAACAAATAAATGTCAAAACATGCAGAAAAAAGCATGTTCTGTGTTAGTCACATGGTAGATATATGGTGATGAAATACTGCACAATCATATTTATCGAATGAAAAGTGACGTTACAAACATGCAGTATTATGAATATACTTATTACTGTTTTACAGTTCCAGAAGAATTTGGATGGACAGAAAATTCGTGTTGGAATTTGTGCCATGGCTAAGAAGGCAAATTCTAAGCCAATGAAAGAGATCTTGATGAGACTTGAGAGATTTGAACATTTACAGGTAATAACTAAATTTGTTTTGTAATTTAACCCTTGACCTGCTATATTTCTATAATGGATCCGTCCAGCTTTGAATTTGGAACAGTCCATTCAAAGTTCAAGGGATTTCAATATCAAAATAAAAAAATTGAGCTACCAACAGTATAGAGCCTGGTCAGACTGCACGGATGTGCAGGCTGGTCTGGCTCTATACTGGTGACAAAGGCTGATTACTTGGTTCAGCAGGTTAAGGGTTGAGTCATAGTTACTATGTAATGTTGAAGATGGGTTTTAAATAATCATAAGTTTACCAAGCATTTCGATATTGAAGAACTAAAGTTTGCATATGAATGGTTTAAGTTTAAAGATATGCTATGCTTATTTTTGGGCAAAATGCTTGTGTTTTTTTTCCAGAACTTAATTGATATCTGGAATGTGTCTTATGTGAAAAAGAAAATGCATAAAGCCTGTTTGGAAAGCTGCATTCCTTAAAAAAAAAACAAAAAACAACAACAAAAAAAAACTTCCAGATTTTTTTTAATGACACTATGTTTTCATACAGTGTTTTCTATTGTGTGTAGGCTTTAAAACATATCTTCTCTGTGTGCACTAAAAAAAAGGGTTTAATTTTACATTTAATGAATAGGAGACTGTAAATAGCAATCATCAATATTTTCAAATGTCAAATTTATACATACTATTAAATTTTAACTTACAACACCTGCTATCTAAATATAGCATGTTCGGTTGATTTCACAAACAATGATGCAAGCTTCAATAAATATTACAACAGTTAAAGCTGTAAACTAAATATTGATTGCAATAACATCACTAAGTTTTTGCATTAAGAATGTCACTTGAGATGCATCAAAATTAAATCTTGACAGCTTTTTGTGCCCCCACGTTAGTGGCGGGCATTTAGATTTACCCTTGTCCGTCCGTCCTTCCGTCCGTCCGTCCTTCCGTCCGTCCTTCCGTCCGTCCGTCCGTTCACTTTTGTGTCGCACGTAACTCAAAAAGTATTTGACCTAGAGTCATGAAACTTTACAGGAATGTTGATCAGCATGTGTAGTTGTGCACCTGGGTATTTTGGTCGGGATATTTTTAGTGTTTTCAGAGTTATTGCCCTTGACTTAGTAAAATTTTGCAATTTTCAACTTGTGTCGCATGTAACTCCAAAAGTATTTGACCTACAGTCATGAAACTTTACAGGAATGTTGATCAGCATGTGTAGTTGTGCACCTGGGTATTTTCGTCTGGATATTTTTAGTATTTTCAGAGTTATTGCCCTTGACTTAGTAAAATTTTGCAATTTTCAACTTGTGTCGCATGTAACTCAAAAAGTATTTGACCTAGAGTCATGAAACTTTACAGGAATGTTGATCAGCATGTGTAGTTGTGCACCTGGGTATTTTCCTGTGCATATTTTTAGTATTTTTAGAGTTATTGCCCTTGACTTAGTAAAATTTTGCAATTTTTAACTTGTGTCGCATGTAACTCAAAAAGTATTTGACCTAGAGTCATGAAACTTTACAGGAATGTTGATCAGCATGTGTAGTTGTGCACCTGGGTATTTTCATCTGGATATTTTTAGTATTTTCAGAGTTATTGCCCTTGACTTAGTAAAATTTGGCAATTTTCAACATGTGTCGCACATAACTCAAAAAGTATTTGACCTACAGTCATGTTACTTTACAGGAATATTGATCAGCATGTGCAGTTGTGCACCAGGTATTTTCGTCTGGATTTATTTAGTATTTTTAGAGTTATTGCCCTTCACGTAGAAAATTTTTGCAATTTTCAACTTGTGTCGCAAGTTTCTCAAAAAGGATTTGACATAGTCAATAAACCTTATGGGCAGGTTGCTCAGCATATTTTAGATTTGCACCTGGGATTTGGCTTGTGGATTTATCCAGTATTTGTAGAGTTATTTCCCTTGACTTAGTAAAAAGATTGACAGAACAGTGTCGCGGTGGGGGCACCCGTGTCCTATGGACACATTTCTAGTTATACTTAAGTTATGTTGTGTAAATTTGTGCATATATTATTTATGCAGCATATGATAACTTACTCTGCTCAGTTAAATAAATAGTAAAAAATAAGTAGTCAACTGTAAGTAACTTACTATTCAGTTAAATAAATAGTAAAATATGAGTAGTCAACTGCAAATAACTTACTATTCAATTAAATAAATAGTAAGAAATAAGTAGTCAACTGCAAATAACTTACTATTCAATTAAATAAATAGTAAGAAATAAGTAGTCAACTGCAAATTCTATAATTCCCTTTAAAATAACGTTTTGGTTGAACAGCCTTCTTCAGGGTATGTATTAATATACCAATGTTTTGACTCAATTAAACAGCTTATGGAACATCAGTGGTTCTATTCAAGTGCCTTTTTTTACCTCACCTGTCACAAAGTGACAGGGTGAACTTTTGTGATCGCTTTTCGTCCGGCGTCCATCCGTCCGTCCGTCCGTCCATCGTCCGTCCGTAAACTTTTACTTTAAATGACATCTCCTCATAAACCACTAAGCCAATTTCATCCAAACTTCACAGGAATGTTCCTTTGGTGGTCACCTTTAAAAATTGTTCAAAGAATTTAATTCCATGCAGAACTCTGGTTGCCATGGCAACCGAAAGAAAAAACTTTAAATATCTTCTTTTAAAAAACCCTATGAGCTAGAGCTTAGATATTTGGCATGAAACATCTTCTAGTGAGTGTCTACCAAATAAAAGCCCTGGGGTCAAAATTGGCCCCGCCCCAGGGGTTCTTTGATTTTCCCTATATGCATATAGGTAAAAACTTAAAAAAATCTTCTTTTAAAGAACCCAAAGAGCTAGAGCTAAGATATTTAGCATGAAACATCTTCTAATGAGTGTCTACCACGTTTGTTCAAATAAAAGCCCTAGGGTCAAAATTGGCCCTGCCCCAGGGGGTCATGGATTTTCCCTATATGCATATAGTAAAAACTTAAAAAATCTTCTTTTAAATGTGTATAGCAAAAACTTAAAAAATCTTCTTTGAAAAAACCCAAATAGCTAGAGTTTATATATTAAGCATGAATCATCTTCTAGTGAGTGTCTACAAAGTTTGTTCAAATAAAAGCCCTGGGGTCAAAATTGGCCCCGCCCCGAGTGTTATTGATTTTCCTAATATATGTGTATAGCAAAAACTTAAAAATCCTCTTTGAAAAAACCCAAATAGCTAGAGTTTAGATATTAAGCATGAAACATCTTCTATTAAGTGTCTACAAAGTTCGTTCAAATAAAAGCCCTGGGGTCAAAACTGGCCCCACCCCAGGGGTGTCATTGTTTTTAACTATATGTGTATAGTAAAAACTTAAAAAATCTTCTTTTAAAAAACCCAATGAGCTAGAGCTTAGATGTTTAGCATGAGACATCTTCTTATGGGTGTCTACCAAGTTTGTTCACATAAAAGCCTTTTGGTTAAAATTGGCCCTGCCGGGGGGTGGTATATGGTTGTTTTTCATTATATGTGTGTAGTAAAAAACTTAACATCGTGAAACATCTTCTAATGGGTGTCTTCCAAGTTTGTTCAAAGAAAAGCCCTGGGGTTTTTAAACTGGCCCCGCTCCGGGTGCCTATATACAGGTGAGCGACCTCAGGGCAATGATGGCCCTCTTGTCGCCTGAAATGATGCGCAGAGGTACACCTGAGGTCTTCCTCCACCAGTAAACCTGGAAAGTTGCCATATGACCAAATTATACTGTATTGGTGTGATGTAAAACCAAACAAAACAAAAAATACAAAAATTGCTCAATTAAAACAAGTTGGTAGTAACTGGCAGAGAAACTAGTTAGTACTGGTATAGATGTGAGGAACACTTGTAGTGAAACTTAAGTTAGTACTGGTATAAATATAGATTCAAGGAACACTTACAGAAAACAATTTTAGTACTGGCATAAATGCAGGGAACACTTGTAAAGAGAAATTTAGTACTGGGTACTGGTATACTTGTAGATTTAAGGAACACTGGCAGAAAAAGTTTTATAGTACTGGTATACATATAAATTCATGGAACACTTGCAGAAAACAAGTTAAGTACTGTCATAATCAAGGGAACACTTGCATAGAAACAATTAAGTACTGTGCACTGGTATACTTGTAGATACAATGAACCCTTGTAGAGAAACACATTATTTAGTACTGGTATTCTTGTAGATTCATGGAACATAAGTAAAGAAACACTTATAGTACTGGTATCCATGTAGATGCTTGGAACACTTGCAAAGAACCAGTTAAGTACTGAAATGACCTGGGGATATATTCCTGACTAAACACACAAAACATAAGCAGTGTTGCCTTAAAAAATTACCTGCCTGAGTATTGCTTTTAAATCTGCCAGTATTTCCTAAATTGCTATTCAAAACCAATATTTAATTCAGCCAATCAAACTGTACATTATACATGATATGTATGACTAATTGTTTCAGATAGAGGTATTTGAGGAGAACATGATCACAGGTTGTAGTGTTGAGGAATGGCCAGTTGTAGATGCCCTTGTTGCTTTCTTCTCGCACGGCTTTCCTCTCCAGAAAGCAATACAGTACAAGAATCTTCATAAACCTTTTCTTATTAATGATCTTGAGGCACAGTATGCTCTCAAAGACAGGTAAAATCTGAGTTTGTAACATCAGTTGTCAGTGGACATTCATAATCTTTAAATCATTCTTTTGTTAGGTTGATTTTCATCGGGCAGTCTTTTAAAAAAAAACAAAAAAACAAAAAACAGAGGTATTGTTACAGTCATGTTGACGTTGCCGTTCTCGTTGCTGTTGGCAAACTTGTACCTTGATCTTAACTTTTTAAGTTCTTGATGTATTGTCTTCATACTTGGCAACAGCAACCCTGGGACAAGACCTTTCAGTAGACTAGACTAACCGTGACCCTCATCCATAAATAAACTTGATTTTGTACAGAAACTGTCTATAATACATAAATTCTAAGATGGAAGGAGTCTATTTCTTGAAAAAATAAAATTGAATACCTTTTTGAACAGCAATTCCTAGCATTTTTAGAGATGCTAATACTTGTAGTATCATGTTAAAATAATGAAATAAGCAGAGGAAGTGTCTATAAATTGAATGTAAGAGTTAAGTAAAATGTCACAATTTGGTCAAGCTTTGACGTACTTTCTGATCAAATATCAACATGTTTTCAGACGTGAAGTGTACAAGATCCTAGTAAGGGAAGGAATTGCTCATCCAAGGTACGCAGTCATGAATCGAGATGAACTTGAAAAAGGTTTGTAAAGCATTACTTATTAACGCGTCAGATTAATAGTAATCTAAGGATTGCTGGCCGTATGGGTTCAAACCCATCAGGGGCAAATTGTTGTTTCCGTGAGCAAGAAACTTTACATGCATTGCTTAGTACTGGTTGGTTTCCTTAGACAAGGGGCATAATTCTCAAAGCTGTATATTTGAAGTTCTGCCCCTTTTCAGACAAGTGTTATGAATGCCTGCAGTGCTGTTGTTTTATTTATAATCATAGAAAGCAATTAATAAGTATTATAATTTCTTAATGTTAAAGATTTTTGAAATGTTATGTCCATTGGCTTAGTTCAATAGGGAAAGCACTGGATTTGTAATGTAGGGGTTGGGTCGCTGGTTCAATCCTGGGGCGAGGTCAACTTTTTTCATGACAATTGATCCCCAACGTAGAGGGGTCGTTTAATGTCTCACATCACTAAGAAAATCATGTGTGATTAGTTGTCAGTCACTTGAGGAGAAATTTATAATTACTGGTTAGTTATCCATGAAAGCCAGTTGTGTGGACTTACCACTAAGATATGATAGAAAAATATGTTAAAATTGGTGTAAAAACCAAACTAACATGTTATATATAGAGGATATTGAATGAGTGTAGATTCAATACACTTAATTTATTGAATGAGTTGATTAAAATATAGGCACGACTTTAGGGAGTCGCAAAAACGGCACAGGTATGTGATAAATGGTCATATGTTAACAATGTTAACATTTGCTTCACAACTTAGTCAAAATATTTTGACGTGCCAAAGCTAGAGATAGAGATATGTTTTAGCTACTCTACAACTAACAATTCAACTAACAAGCTTGTAACTTCCATTTATTCTTGGTTGTAAAATATGTCAAAAGTATTAAATCTAAAGCTCATATAATTAAGTAGTTGAAGAATAGTGGGTTTATCATGTTCACTCTGGGCAGTGTGAGCAGTGGCATTAATTTTTGGCTAATAAAACAGAGAAAAAAAACATGGAATCTTTGTAGAAAACCTGAAGCAGCTATCAGCAAAATTTGATTGAGATGGTTCATGTATGATACATGTAGTGGTGTAAGTACAAGGTAAAGTTTGATTTTCTTATTATAATTAGTTCCAAGAGGTAAAAGTGTCAGCATATGTGTTGATGTTATCTTCCGTTATGTTATTTTTTTAGGTGAATTTGAAGAGAACGAGGATGCTATAGAAGTGAACGGGACGTCATTTCAGCGGCCATTTGTCGAGAAACCGGTCAATGCTGAGGATCACAACATATACATTTATTTTCCGGTGTCGGCAGGGGGCGGCTGTCAAAGGCTCTTTAGGAAGGTCAGATTCTGGGAACCTGTGTCCAAAAAAATTGTACGCAGTCTGATTTTGTAGGATTTCGCATGTAGAGAGTTAGTTCGGCCTTGCGGATGAAAACAGCAGTGTTTCATAGAATGTCAGGCCAATCAAGGAAATTCATCACTTTCTTTTTCTGTGAATTTATTAAATTATGGGAAATTTACATTTCTTAGTGGATGACTCCTATAAAGAATAAAAACTTACCTTATGTTCAGACTGTAAAATATTTTTCTTTGAATATTTAATTTTATTATTAAGCCAATCAGTTTCATTTGTATAAGATTTTTGAAGTTTATAAGAATCAAATCGCCATCAGTTCAAAAAAATTATTAGATATGATCATTGTTAGGGCCTATCATGGTTGAGCGGTTAAGGTTACTGATAATATACCGCTGTCACCCTACTGCTATTGGTGGAACTTTAGATATCCCAGGCCTACCTTCATCAGAAAAGTTGCAAAGTCATCTTTTGACCTTTATATTTTTAGTCAGACCATTGAACTATAAAAACAATATATTTTCATGTTTTTGAGGGACTCAAAACACATACACACACAAAAGCTTTTTAACTACTGCTTTAATAATTTTGTCTTGCTGTCTTTTTTGGGGTTATTTTCTTATTTCTGTCTATCCGTCCGTCCGTCTGTCCGTCCGTCCGTTAGCAATTTGGTTTCCGGAGCATAACTTAAGTTTCATTTGGACCACAACATTCAAACTTCATAGGATGATTGTCCATATTGGGTAGAAGACCCCTATTGATTTTGGGGTCACAAGGTCAAAGTCACTATCACCTTAAAACTGAAAACAGTTTCCGGAGCATAACTTAAGTTCCATTTGGCCCACAGTGTTCAAACTTCATAGGATGATTGTCCATATTGGGTAGAGGACCCCTATTGATTTTGAGGTCAAAGGTCAAGGTAACTATTACCTTAAAACTGAAAACAGTTTCCGGAGCATAACTTAAGTTCCATGTGGCCCACAGTATTCAAACTTCATAGGATGAATGTCCATGTTGGGTAGGAGACCCCTATTGATTTTGGGGTCACAAGGTCAAAGGTCAAGGTCACTATTACGTTTAAACTGAAAACAGTTTCCGGAGCATTACTTAATTTCCATTTGGCCCACAATATTCAAACTTCATAGGATAATTGTCCATATTGGGTAGGAGACCCCAATTGATTTTGGGGTCACAAGGTCAAAGGTCAAGGTCACTATCACCTTAAAACTGAAAACAGTTTCCGGAGCATAACTTAAGGTCTATTTGGCCCACAATATTCAAACTTCATAGGATGATTGTCCATATTGGGTAGGAGACCCCTATTGACTTTGGGGTCACAAGGTCAAAGGTCAAGGTCACTATTACTTAAAACTGAAAACAGTTTCCGGAGCATAACTTAATTTCTATTTGGCCCACAATATTCAAAGTTTATAGGAGGATTGCTATTGGAAGGAGGTAATACTTTATTTAATTTATGTAATGTCTTACACATGCTTCATCCTTAATATAAAAAAAAACACTTTCGGGCATATAATGCTCCGCCTAGCGGTGCTCTTGTTCCATCTTTCTCACACACATTATTACTGTTTCTCATAACACTATCATTAACTGACTGAAATTTTAGACTTTTTGTGTGTCTGTACCTTCCGAGGGCCTCTTATCATTAGATGAGGTTTCACGCTAATTGGGTCAAAGTCAAGGTCAGTGAGGCTAAAAATAGATTTTCATTTAAAATTTACTCTTCTTTATAGTAAAACATAATCAGGAAAAGGGGAGATTCCATGGAAGCAGTGAAACCAAAATTATTTGAAATTGCAGACTGTTCAAAAGTTAATTTAATAGTGCAACATTTCCCACACCCCATAGCAAAGGCTTTAAGTAAGCTGTATTCAAAAGTGGTATTCAAAATTCAACTAAAATTCAGTAAAGCTGGAACGTCGCGATATGACCTATACTGTGTCGATTTGACGTAAAACTCCAAAACAAACAAACAAACAAAATTCAACTTTAAAAGGGCCGCAATCAGTGATCTAGAATGACCATGGAAGGTCATGTTTTATGTCAAAGCATTTTTGCTGTAATCATTATTCTTTTTTAAGGGAAAGGGGGCCAAACTAATTTTCAGTTAAAATTTTTTCCAGACTTTTTAAAAAATTAAAAAGGGGGCCTCCATTTGAGGTTTCAAATGTTTTTATAACAAAAAAATTTTGAATTTTTTAACTTTAGATAAATTTGACACCGTTACAGAAAAAAGATACAAAAAGAAAATTTAAAAATTTTTTCAAAAAAAATTTATAAATTACAGTCTACTTCTTTACCCTTCAAAAGTTTGGGGACGAAAAAAAAATAATGAGTTTAACGAAATGTCGAGAAAATGTAGGGGTTTAAAACCTTTTAAAAAAACCTTTTTTAAAGAAGAACATCGCTACTTAAAAGTCAAAAAAGTAAAAAATGTTCTTTAAATTTTGGTGTCAACCCTAAAATAAAATTTAACAATTTCGAATTTTTTAACCGGGGGAAAATTTAGCATTTAGGTCCCAAATTGGTTTTGAACATAGGGGGGTTTCTCATTTAAAACACCACAAAAAAAAACTTTGTTTTCAATTTAATTTTTTTAGTTTTTTAACATTGCAATAATTAACAAAATATAAATTTAATAAACTTTTTAAAAGCAACCCATTTTTTTAAAGTAAAAAGCACTTTTAAAAAAACCCCAATGTTTTAATATTAGCCCCTTTATTCAAATTTCCCGTTAAATTTTCGATAAAATTCAACATTTTTTTCGACATAATCACAAAAAGCAAATTAAAAAATTTTTTTTTCAAAACACCTTGTTTGTTACAAACATAAAATCTTTAAAATTTTAGAAAACCCCTTTTAAAGCGTAACTGTCCGTTGGTGTTTTTCAACCCTTCTGCGGGGGGGGTAGACGAATAATTTTTTTTTGGAGATAAAAAAAAGGTTTTAAAATGGGGAAATAATTTTGGGGGGCTGAAAATAAATGGGAAATACTGAAAAAATCGAAATAAAAATATCGAGATAAAGAAATATTTTCAATATAGATAAAGAAGGGGAAAAAACGGGACTTTCAGAATTTAATCGAAATAACGAAATATCGAGAAAAGCGATGTCGAGATAACGATAGTTGACTGTATTTTTTTTGTGCTATTCTAAGTCTTGTTTGAGTGATAAGGGTTTCAAAGCTTTTTAGTTTTGGTTCATATTTCACAACTAGAACAATAATTCTGGGAAAACAGAATGAGCAAATGATCTGATATTTTGCACACAAGATATTGGTCTAGAACATCATCAAATGGAATGTTAACTTGAAAAATTATTTTCAGTCCGGTCATGTCAAAAAACCTAAAAGGAGTCCCTTTAAACAGGTAAATAAATTATTTATATATTTATGTAAACCAGGAGTAACTACTGCTTATAGAGGTAATCTGTATGAAACCACTGGCCTAGTTTCAGGTTGTTAGAAAACTGATACTAATTTTGTACTGACACCACAAAACTGGCTTTTCTATGAGACACTGTTAGTTTCAAACCTTTCTGCATGGGTGATTAACTGCATACAATTTCTGGATTACCCAAGTTGTTAGTAACCACCTGTAATTGGATTAAAGAGAATGTGGGACTACATTTCGAGAGTTGACCGCAAAACTGCAGTAACTTACTAGTATATGAAATAAAGAAGGACTTACAATAGTTTTGCGGTCAACCCTTGATTTGTAATTGGAAATACAATAAGAAACTAAAAGCATGATTTTTTTTGTCCTATTCTGTTGGTAATTGTGAATATGGGATAAAAGTAATGGTGTAAATATAAAATAGTAATGACAGATACAGAACAGTGGTTGTGGCCAATACAGAATAATAGTAATAACGTGGGCAAGATAATAGTTGAAGTATATATAGGGGATAAAAGTAATGTTGTATATGATAAAATTGTGATTGCATATACAGAACAGTAGTTAGGGACGTACATGTTAATAGTAATTACATGGGCAAGATAATAGTTGATACGATTATATATGGGATAAAGTACTAAATGTAAAAGTAATATAAGTGAATAATAGTAATTAAGGGAAATGTAATGGTAATTATAGATAATAGTACTTGTATATACAGGATAATAGTAATTGTGTATTCAAGGTAATAGTGATTTTGTATATACAGGATAAAAGTAATAGAACCTGCAGAAAAATAGTAATTGCATAATTTTGATAAAAGTAATGACATAAGCTAGATAATAGTAATGATTAATTTGTCTGCATCATTACTATTATCCTTTATGCACAATTACTACAAATATGATCATGTGTAATGTATGCAATTACTTTCATCATATATACAACATTACTATTATCTCATTCATGCATATGAGAATGTAAGTGTATACAAGAGTGGCATAAGGCATATATGCTATAAGAGTAATTGCGCAGACTATTGAAAAGTAATGCTGCATGTAATATAGTAAATATGAGATAATTGTAATGGTTTATACTGTAAAGGTATATACAGGGTAAAAGTAATGCTTCATGTACGAATATATAGTATATACAAGGTAATTGTAATGGTGTATGTAGTAAAGATATATACAGGGTAAAAGTAATGGTGTAGGCAGGGAAATCTATATGGAATTGAATCATATTAATATAAATATGATATAATGTTCATATACAATTATTGTATCCATTCAAGTTGAATTGATTCACTTCCTTAGTTAAATAGGTATGACTTTGTCCTCATAATCAAAGGGGTATATAATCAGGGAAGAATTTGTAATTATGTTCAATCTCCATTTCTTATATGTAATGTAAGTAATGTAATGTAGTGTAATTCATTAGGAACTTTTGGTATATTGGGTATATCAGATCACCTTTGTTAGAAAAATAATACATGAATTTTGGAAAGATATTTGAGTCGCTGATTTACTTATTATGAAAAAGGTTCAACAAATTTTGCTCTTCTGTACTTTTTCTATACTTTTATTCCGTATTTTGTTAATTTCGTTTATGTTAAACATATTTATACACCCTGTTGTTCTACTTAACAGTTCTTTATTTTTTTCCTATTAAATTCTGACGGCCTTTTTAGTATCTAATAATTTAATTATATTATTTTGTTGCTATACGGATTGATATCTTTTTAACGCCCACCTCTGCCAGTCCTTTTGTTTGCTGTTCATTTTCCAAGCTGTTTCCCCATTCATTTTGTAATCTTGTTTGAATGAGTTTTTATGTTGAGTGATTGATTTTCTGCTTATAGTGCTTTGTAGATGTATTTATTAATCAGGACAGTTATCTTTTTTGTTACTCTTTGTTTTAATGTTTCAATTTTGGTATATAATTTCTATGTGCAAAATCATTTTTTGCTCTTCAGTATGTTTAAACCTTAAAGGCACATTGTACCTTAGAAATGAATACATTTTGATTTAAAAGGCAAATATGAATTTGATAATAATGGTTTTTAAGTATGCTACTTACTTGTTACCTGAAAAAAGTTGTGATAAATGTGAAATAGTAAGTCATAAAAGTAGCGAAATGTAAACAAAGTAGTGTTTTGACTTCCTTACAAAGTACTAAATTACTGTACTAATTGCCAAAACTCAACAGAAGCAAAAAAAAGATAAATCAGGTCATTGGCCAATGAGTAACTTATTTAAAACTGTAACTTTAGAACACCAAAAATTAGACACATTTGGGAAACAAAAATACAGGCATTTCTTAGGCATAATGGGCCTTTAATGTTTTAATTTTGGCATACATATACAATTCCATTGTGTAAAAACATTTTTTACTTTTAACGTTTATTTTTAAAGTCAATCTAAACCTTAATCTGCTGAATTTCTAAAATGGACTTGTCCAGCATTTATTTTTGGAACTGTCCATTACAAATTTTTTTTGGCGATATTATGAAAATTTATAATTTATTTACATTTTATGTTTTTAACTTGATAAATATGTTTATTGTTTGAGTGCAGGTTGGTTCGAGGAGCAGTGTGTATTCTACGATCGGTCGAGTGCGTAAAACGGGCTCGTATATTTACGAGGATTTTATGCCAACTGATGGCACCGATGTTAAGGTTTATACAGTAGGACCGGACTATGTGCACGCTGAAGCCAGGAAGTCACCGGCCCTTGATGGGAAGGTGGAGAGAGATAAAGACGGGAAGGAAGTTCGATACCCAGTGCTCCTTTCTTCTACAGAAAAAATGATTGCTAGAAAAGTGTGCCATGCTTTTAAGGTAAGAATAATTATTTAAGTAACTTCTAAAATACTTGTAGAATTTATTTTAAAGATGATTTGTTAACAAGATTTATCATCACTTTTACGAATATAAAGCTGTCATTTCTTTCTTTATTGATTTACATTATAATATGCATCATAATGTTACATTTTGGAATGATAATACTAAATTGCTAGAGCTTATTCCTTCAGAAGATATGCTTTAAACAAGTGGGATAATTTAGTTTCTATAAATTATCTAACAACAGCTGTCAATGATTTTTCCTGCTTATATAACAAACTCCGATAAAAGGCCTATTCCTAATTGAAATTTTCTTAAAAATCATGCAGTTTTCCCAAAAATCTGAACTTAAACATGCTTTTTTACTTCCCAAAGTTATTTTAGCTAAGGCCTCTTCCCAACTCAGTGAGAAAAATCACTGACTGTTGGAGAGTGATAAATTAATCAAAGGCACTCCATTGAGGTCATTACGCTAAAAATGTAAAGGTTGAAGTTAGGGCACAGTGACTGCATAAAAACTGTAGAAGATAAAGAAATAAACCCGGACTTAAATCTAAAATCAATTTATTTTTTTGTGGGGGGGGGGGATTCTTAGCCTGATTTTGAGTTAAGGTATTAGCACCCTAATGCATTACCTCCGCTTTGAAGAGTATTCAAATAGGCTAGAACTACTGTTAACTACATTGGAAATGAGGGCCATGGGTTCAATCCCCAGAGGGGTCAACTTTTTTTTTTCTTTCTTTTTTTCTTTGAACATTATTTATGTATTTCTCATGTCCCATTTGGAAAGAAAAAAGTGTTTAATTTTGATTTTTTAATTTATATAGGTATTTATTGGCTAAATTATGCTAAATTTAGTAATAAATATGGTACCTGATATTTTCAAAGTGTAATATAATCAAAACTAGACGGTAAAAGTACTTCATATTTTACAAGATCAACCAATATTCTTTTTTAAAAATTTAGGGAAACTTTGAAAACAGGCACTCATATGGGTAAATTTTAAGCATTTTTTAAATTAGGCTCCCAAGGTAGAAAAATGGTCAGACACATGGTAAAAATGGGTGGGGTAGGGTAACATTTTTATACAGATTTTCATAGATTTTAAGTAGAAACCATAATTTTGCTTATTTGGATTGTTAGCTGAATGGTACTATTTGTTTCTTACCAAAAATTAATGGGAAAACATTTTTCATTAGAATGTTATTCCAGATTATTTAAAGGTTCCTACTTTCTAAAAAAGGGCCCTCATAACATCCTAGCTTGAGTTCAGAAAAGTGGCCATAACTTGATTTCCGTACGGTAAACTTTGTTTAAATTTTGCATACAGGTGTACTTTAAGGTATACATCTGACTTATGATGTCAATTTTTTAGTTCCTGATAGTGCCCATTAGGGTCCTAATACCTTAAATGTGTTATTTTGATCAAGACCTACATCAAATGGTATATAAAATTTTTTTCCTAGTCCTGTTTCGTAGAAAAACCTCAGTGGAGTGTCTTTAATAGCTGTATAGATAATGTACGATTTATGTGGTTAAAAAATACACTCAGCACTTATGTTTAATACAAACCTTCTTCAGCAAAATGTGTGTGGATTTGACTTATTGAGGACTAGTGGGAAATCGTATGTTTGCGATGTGAATGGCTTCAGCTTCGTCAAGAATTCTACCAAGTATTACGATGACTGTGCAAATGTACTCGGGTAAATAATCACTAGAATCTAAATTGTTATATTTCATGAAAATTTTGACAATATTTTTTTTGAGAACCCTTCTTCATCAGTGTGAAAAATGAAAGATTTTTATAGGGTTATCAAATTATTGGATATACATGTATGCACAAATACCATATAAATGGTTAAGTTAGTGACACAGAAATATTGGCGAATTTCTCGAATTGATGAAAATCGCAAAAAAAATATCCTCTAGCATTAATATCAACCAACCTGACATTAAATTCTACCCTTGTATGGTACGCTAATATTTTCTCATGCAAAATGTCTGGGGGTTCAAATTGCTATCTTTTTGACATGTGGAAATATCCATTATACAGAGAATATATATATGTCAAAAATAAATTATTTTACTATATTCAGGACGATGATTGTTAGAGCTCTAGCGCCTCAACTTCATATACAGAATGTGGCCCTTGTTTTAGGGGCTGGTCCAGAAGATATCCCAGTTGTGCCTACAACATCAGGTTCCATGTAAGAATATTTGGTGAAGTTAATATTTCTTTCATATTTTCAATTATTTGAGCTGGACATGAAGGTTAGCTGGGTTATTTTTAGAATTTTAAATAATGTAATTCCTTAAAGTTCCATTTCTGTGATGTACAGTGAGTGATTTAAATTAAGAGATATACATTGAGTAACATACAGTGAGTGATATACAGTAGTATATACATAATATTATACAGTAGTGGCTGCATGGCAAAGTGGTTAAAGCATCACACTAGTTATCAAATGATCGCTTGCCACATGGGTTTAAATCCTATTAGGGGCAAGTAATTGTTTCCTTGAGCAAGAAACTTCATACTCTCAGTACTGGTTGGTTCCAGGAACAGATTCAAAGGTGTGTCTGTAAGCTTATAGCTTCCTGCGTCATCAAACTAAAATTCTGTTATACCAAGTCCCATTTATTCTCAAAAACATTCTATTTTCATAACAAAAATAATATAGTTACAGCAGATTTGTTCATGTCTTAATTGATACATTAATTGATACAAAATGGATATGTTTCTCCTTTATTTGTCTCAAAACTGAAAAATTGCAAATGAGTATTGCAGAAGAATATCAAAATACAAATGTGATTTTTACATTTTTTTAAGTGAAATTTAACAAGTTGGACATTGGTAATAAAAGGGAATGGGTTGAAACTTCACATACTTATTTGTGAGCATGAAAAGGGGTCCCTAAGACTAACTAAGGCCCATTACTCTAACTTGGAATTTGACAGAATTATGGCCCTTTTTGTACTAGCAAAATTCTACATTACCCAGGCTCTTGTTTTACTATTAAGCATTGAGAATTATTTAACATGCTGTCTGACAAACAGCACATATTTTTTATGTTGCTAACAGTGAATAAGAAAAGGACTGTTCCAAAATTCAGTTCACTACAAGTCAATAAACATGGGGTATAGGTAGATGTTGTTATCAGTTGATAGTTTGATTTATAATTGACAGGATGGAGTTAAGATGTGTGATAGCTGTAATCAGACATGGTGATAGAACTCCAAAACAAAAAATGAAGATGGAGGTTAAACATAAAAAGTAAGAGATATGTTTTTTGTAAGACTGTAAGTAATAATCAGTGAGTGATTTAAAGTGAGCAAAATTAAGGGAGTGACATACAGCGATTGATAAAAGTAAGTGATATACTGTAAGTGACATATGGTGAGTGATATGTAGTAAGTGATATACAGTGAGTGATTTAAAGTGAGCAATTAACAGTAAGTGACATACTGTAAGTGATATACAGTAAGTGACATACAGTAAGTGACATACAGTAAGTGGCATACAGTGAGTGATATACAGTAAGTGACATCAGTAAGTGACATATAGAAGGTGATAAATAGTAAGTGACATACAGTGAGTTATATACATGGAGTTACATATAGTAAGTGACAGACAGTAAGTGACATATATTGAATGACATACAGTAAGTGACATACAGTGAGTGACATACAGTGAGTGACATACAGTAAGTGACATACAGTGAGTGACATGCAGTGAGTGACATACTGTAAGTGATATACAGTAAGTGACATACAGTGAGTGACATATAGTATGTTACATACAGTGAGTGACATACAGTGAGTGACACACAGTGAGTGAGTGACATACAGTAAGTGACAAACAGTGAGTGACATACAGTGAGTGACACACAGTGAGTGACATACAGTAAGTGACATACAGTGAGTGACATACAGTGAGTGACGTGTGTAGTGAGTGACATACTGTAAGTGATATACAGTAAGTGACATATAGTGAGTGAGTATACAATGAGTGACATACAGTAAGTGACATATAGAAGGTGATAAATAGTAAGTGACCATATAGAAGGTGATAAATAGTAAGTGACATACAGTGAGTTATATACATGGAGTGTTATGTAGTAAGTCACATACAGTGAGTGATATATAGTATGTGATATACAGTTAGTGACAAACAGTAAGTGACATATAGTAAGTGATATAGAGTGAGTGATATACAGTGAGTGACATACAGTAAGTGACGTACAGTAAGTGACATATAGTAAGTGACATACAGTAAGTGACATACAGTAAGTGACATATAGTAAGTGATATATAGTAAGTGACATACAGTGAGTTATATACAGTGAGTGATAAGAAGTAAGTGATATTCAGTAAGTGACATACAGTAAGTGACATATAGTGAGTGATATACAATGAGTGACATACAGTAAGTGACATATAGAAAGTGATATATAGTAAGTGACATACAGTGAGTTATATACATGGAGTGTTATGTAGTAAGTGACATATAGTGAGTGATATAAAGTATGTTATATACAGTAAGTGACAAACAGTAAGTGATATAGAGTGAGTGATATACAGTGAGTGACATACAGTAAGTGACATACAGTAAGTGACATATAGTAAGTGACATACAGTAAGTGACATACAGTAAGTGACATATAGTAAGTGATATATAGTAAGTGACATACAGTGAGTTATATACAGTGAGTGATAAGAAGTAAGTGACATACAGTAAGTGACATACAGTGAGTGACATACAGTGAGTGATATTCAGTAAGTGACATATAGTGAGCAATTATCAGTGAGTGATGTACAGCATTTGACATACAGTGAGAGTTTATAGACAAGACCTCACTAAGTAAATACTCTCAAATTATAAAAGTTTTATGGCTATTTTTAAGTAACTTTCAAATTGATACATTTATAGAATACTTTACAGCAATTTTACTTGAGATAAGTTAATATATACTAGTAAGCCAGTATTTTATTACCAGATTCTTTGAGTTGTTTGAGAGACATAATGGTTACAAGAAGGGACATCTCAAGTTGAAGAAACCCAAACAGTTACAGGAGGTGCTAGATATAGCCCGTGATCTTCTGAATGAGAGGGGCACGACCCAAAACCCCCAGGTTTTTAGAAAAAAGGCAAAAACTGAAAAACTAAAATTTTTTAGAAATGAAATTTGGGTTTTTAAAAATTAAAAATTTTTTTTAGAAATGCTGTGAAAAATTTAAAAAAAAATGTTTTTTAATTTATTCTTGGTTAAAATTTAACAGATTTTTTTAAGGGAAACCAAATTTATTTATAGTAATATTACATCACCAATGTTAATGAAAATTAATTTGGCTTGCTTTGATCTGTAAACAAAATTAGGGTTTATACCATAATTGTAAAAACCTTAAGTTGATGCTCTTATGTGGATAGTTTAAGGGACTTTCCTGGTTTTACTTTTATTGACTTGAAATAATGCATAGATGTGCACTGTAGTTCTTTCCTCATCAGAAAAGATGGAAAATCTTGCACCAATATTTTGGTGTTTGTGTGACATTATAACCATATATTATTGATAAGGGAAAAAGAAAAATTTTGTGTTCAATGTCTGTCTTAGGCAGACCAAAAATAATAAATATGGCGTTCATATTACTGACTAGACAAAAAAATATTGTAATCTAATTTTTACAGCATTGATTTTTTGCAATGGATTTTCTTTTATTAGAATTTAGAGGTGTTAATCATATTTAAACAATTTTATAAAGTTTTTTTCAAAATACTTTAAAAACGTATCCGAATTGGCCACTTTATGAAAATCAATTTTACAGAAAAGTATTTAAGTGAATAGGAACTTTAATGAGGTGTGGGGGGTGGGAAGAGAAAGTTTGGTTTTATGTTTCACTATCACTGTAAAGGTCAAAGGTGTTATAGTGACATTCCAGCTTTACAAATGGAGGATAATCTTGGGTACACTGGTGTGCATTATTTCATAGAATGCAACCGCGTGAGATCAAGGACATTCTGTAGGCCAGCTGGAAAGCTTTCTCGCATGAAAGAATCTTAAGTCCCAGGAGTAATGTGTAATGTAAGGGACTCCACTGAAGTCCAAAAGCCTGAAAACTTAGAATCTAAAAATTCTTATACAGATCACTTAAAGCACTTAAAATAAAAAGCAATAAAAAGTTTAAACACTTTTTTCATTTTTGTGTTATTTTGCACAATTTTTTTTTTTTAGTTCTTGAAAAACTAAGTGAGCAAATGATTGGAAATTTTGTACACTGCGAATGGTACACAAATCTGAAGAAAAAATATTACAAGTTATGTTATGGCAAAAACCTCAGTCGAGTCCCTTTAAAATGACAGCAACCTTGATCATTTGGCCACAAAGAGCCGCATGTCAAAGGAAATGTACAAGCTTTATTTATTTTTGATTTATTTATCAAACCAAGAGCTTACTCTGCAATGTAATGTGTGTCTTAAGTCAAACCTGTGATAATGGCCATCCAGCCTGTGGTTATGGTTGTCAAACCTGTGAAAATGGCCACTGCAATGAATAGTTGATTGATAGAAAATATGTGAACACATTGTAATGCTAGTAGACAAGCATTTTAGTTTTCTGTTTGATAAGTGATAATGTATTTCCGAATAGTTCTGTTTAAAAAAAATACTGGTCAACAATGACCCACTGTTTGATATTTACCTAGAATGGTCTTTATATGCAGGTTTAACTGTAGATATTTCTTTAGGTTGAATACATTGACGTCCTTGCCTTACCAATGAATGTGGTGGGTTGAAATCTTTTAATTTAAAGGACAATTGTAAAGTGAGCCAACTGTAAGAACATCTTTAATATCAGGAAAATCAAGCAATGAAAAGATTTCTGTATTACATAGATTCAATATTTGTATTCAAGGAAAACGTTTATACAGTACAAGTATAAAATCTTGGATACTGGGAAAAAAAAATAACCAGATGTGTTCATTTTAATATTGAGTGAAATTTATGTATCAATATAGGTACGGACACTTCTCTGGTATAAATCGCAAAGTTCAGCTAAAGTATCAGCCCTATGGGGCGCCGAAAAGATCATCAAGTGAAGAAGGTTTGAATATTGAGAGCGTAAAGTATACCACACCACCTTGTACGTAATCTCCGACAATGTGACGTGTACAATGTCTCATATGCTACGCTTTTTATGTATAGAAGCTTTTTTTCACATAACATGCATTTACCTCCCTTGGTTGCCATTTTAAGGGTCATTCCAAAAATATTATATGCTTAAGAATTATCAAAGATATCTCACAATTTTATCTTTTAGATTTAATCAGATAACAATTTTGATATTGAATTAATAATTATTTTAATACTTTTCCACATATGTAAAAATATATATATATAAATAAATTAGCCTAAAACATCTACATATTTTGCTTATTTCCATATTCTATCAATTTTATACAAATTCAATAATGACCTCTCAAAAATGGCTGCCATTATTGTCAAGGGAGGTAACTATTGTAAAAATCTGCAATTATCTATTGTGGTGTGCATGTGCGTGTTTCTATATTGTGCCCCTTTAAAATCTGGACAACAAACTAAGAAGAACTGTTAGAATTAAAGTAAAAGCATTGTAAAAAGTAACATTTTGGCAATTTAGCTATTTTGATAAAGTCTCTTTAAGTCTTAGTTTTGAAGGAAGCAACAATATTTGGATTTGAGCAATTGTGAATGAAATTACAGTACGCTCACCGCGGGTTTTGCTTTTTCCGCGATACCACCGCGGACGATTTTTTTTTATCGCACACAAACGCGGGGGTTCGTCCGCGATGAGAAGCCTAATTTCCCCGCGATCCCCGGTGTTCAGTTGTTTCCACCGCGGACAAAATTCTGACAACCGTTCTTCATTTATCAATAAAATCAGTCACCCGTTTCCCGCGGGGAACGCCATGGTCAGTTGGTCAGTATACATTATGTAACACTAACAAAGTTCTATGCTCCTGCATTTATGAATAAATTATGCAAATGAGCCACGTTGAGCCGCCATGTTGGAGTTTCGGTAAGCGTGTTGGAAATTGCTACCTGTTTGTTTTGAAAGCTCGTCCTAACTTACAGTTTCCTTGAATGTAGGAAAACTTGGTTTTGTTTGATTGCATACTGAATGATAGGTATTACAAAATAAATATAATGAAAATCGATCAATCAATAATTGTATTCGAGCGTTATAAAGTCAATTTAATTCGTCAGAATAATAAGATTCTGTTGCAGGGTATCGGTAAAAGACTGCTTTTTTTTCCCGTTTTTGAAATTTATTCCTTATTTAAATTGTCTAAGAAGTTAAATCTGTTTGTTTACATGTAAATGTGTACCGTCATTTTGACCGACTGGAATAAAAACTATTATGACGGTGATAATACCAGATATGTAATGAAAATTACGCCGTGTAGTGCAAAGTTTTCGACATTGCAATTAAAATTAACGCTTACGTTGATTCAAACTGTTCCTATTCAGCAAAATTGAAACCGAAAGTAGAGGTTGTTCTAGAATTTAATCGAATAAGATGGGTGGGATTTAACCACCTCGCATGCCCTGTGTGAACGTATTGTTTACATCTGGTCGTAGCATAGGGTAAGAGTGCAAACTTTGTTAGTGTGTAAATTAACCTCCAAAAATAATAGACGTTTTATTATTTTTTAACGTCATCTTTTATACACAATGACTTGAAAATTGACCACAATCGTCTCCTTAAATGTTATTATACGTTAAATTATTTGAATGGAATTTGAAATAAAAATAATTACAGCTTGACTTGTTTTTGTTGTTGTTTTTAATATTTTTGTTATAAACGTCCACAAAACTATTCGTCCACATACCAATATTTTTACAACTGAAATCGTCATTTATCACTGTCATCTTTACTTGTTCATTCCTTGTGGTTCTATAAGTATTGCTTAAGTATATATTATTGCTGTTAAACTAACGAAAAGCTTGTTTATTATTCCAGCGCCCTTGATGTATGATAATTATATATAATAAGCACCAAACGCGTTAAAAACAAATTCCGCATCCATTAAAAAATAATGATTAGGCTGCCTTTTACAAATTATAAAATTACATTATTATCCTGGGAATTAATTTTAATGAAAACTTAATATAATAAATACAAGAAATCAAAGACAATTACGTTCAATTGTATGTACTTAAAACTACATTTTGTCTACAAATACTATTATTCCTATGAACAATAATATCTTAAGATAAAATTAAAATGAAATATTTTTAACTTGAAAATCGGTCGATGGAAGTTCTTAGAAAATAACTGCCATGTGCTCGTTTGCTTTATAAACATGTATGTACATGCATACTGTTCATAATAAAATAACAAAAGTATAACGTCAAGTTTAACAAAATTCTGCAAAAAAAAATCTATAAAAAAATAAAAAAGAACAAGCAAACAAACTACTAAAACAAAAATGAAAATAAACTTCAACAGTTGATACAAACTTCAAAACATATACATTACGCTCACACCTGTAATTAGATAAATCAAGAATATCATTTAATGTATATTTTGGTGACATAAACGCTTTCTTTTAATGTTCCAAATAAAATATAAGACTTTATGATCAACATGCAAATAAACAGAAACAGTAAAACGCATCTGACAATTGAAAGAGACGTCCTGGAAAATTGCCTGAAAAAAATTGTTGAGGGTTACGTTTTCAAAGTTTTTAAATAAGAAACAAAAGCTGGCATATAAATTGTTGTAGTATCTTTTTCATAAATGTCATATGCCGAATTTTTCATTATTTGACTTCAAGTTTCTCACTACCATGAAGTTGCGACGACAATGATTTATCTTGATGTCGAATACATATTCTGAGCAAATTTTCGTCCGCGGTAAACCTCATCCGCGGGGTCACGCGGGTTTTTAAAAAGCCGCGCTGAGCGTACTGTATACTATTGGTATGTATAGAAACACTTCTTCTGTCTGTTGCTACTTGTGCATATAATGTACATTTTTATCCCAAGAAATTGTTGAACAAAAAAGTGTAAGTCCAACTAATCAGACTTGTCAAAGAGACATCGAGATAATTCTGGAGGGGATATGTTGGTTTGACAGCAGGGAAAAAAGTCTGTAAAATTGGTTCGATTAATAAGGCTAAAGAAAGTATATGTTATTTGGTTTTCCTTATAGTAATACATGTAGTTTCTTTAGAACTTAGAAGAGAAATGAAATTCTTGTACAGATTTTTAACAAGGAAATCAATGGTGACTTATTACCTCCAGTATGAAGAGTAATCAACAATATCTTGAGGAAAAAAACAACAACAACTTAATAACCTCCATTTTTCACAGCTATAAATAATAATAAATCAAGGGTACAGTGAACAACTGCTATAACTGACTTTGGACATTACAAAATGAAAAAATGTTGAAGCTGCTGATTTATTTATTTATTTTTTTTTTCTGGCATTTGTTTCTGTTGTTTTTCATTTGCACTTCAACTTCTGCAATACTGACCATTGTGCATGCGCTTTCTTAATATACTTTTACTGGACTTATAATAAGGTTTTCTGGAATGAACTGTGTCTTATTATGTAAAATATTGATAAATGTTTTCTTTTATACAGTGTTTTATAAAAAAAGAAAGGATTTATGTAATATTTTATGAAATTCTTTTCGGAATGCTGCCATTACATGACATTTTTTTCTATAAATTTCTGGGAGCAAAAATCAGATCCTGATTTAAAGGTTATTTCTTACAATTCTATAAAAACATAATCGGGCACAGGAAATAAAAGAAAACTGCACAAACTATAACAGAATTAAGCCTTCCTGTCATTGCTTCATAGCTTAAGTTTTCTCTGCGCTTACAGTGTCAATGATCTCAAGCATTTAAGGTTTGTTTCTATAGGTACGAGTTTTCGGGCATTAATAGAAAAATTCAGTTGAAATATCAACCATATGGCCGGCCGGCCACTTCCAGTGACGGTTTGTATGCTACACATTCAAGGGGCTGTAAGTCTGGCTTTACTGCTGAATTAACCCAGAGTGATGTCCCCTTTTTTAACATTTTTGCTATTTTTCGATTCTGGATGATTTATTTAAACTGATTTTTTAATTAACATTAAACTTTGAGATTTTATTGTAACTTTGAACCAGTTCAGAGTGTTATTTATTTTGTTATATGGTTAGATTTGTTAATATATGTTATTAAATTACAGCAAAACTAAAGATTACAGCCCCATTTAAGTCTTCCTGTTGATTCATATAGGCCAGTATCAAATTTTGTACATTAGAATGATGTACATTTGATATTTTATAACCTTAAATTTCCTTTCAAATCTTTAGTGTAGATTTATTAGTCCCCTACCGGTTTAACCGGAGGGGACTTTAGGTTTACCCTCCGTCCGTCTGTCGGTCCGTCTGTCTGTCTGTCAGTCTGTCTGTCAGTCCGTCCGTCCACAAAACTGGATCCCGCGATAATGCAAAAAGTACTGAAAATATATTTTTATGAAACTTGATATATGGATAGATGGCAGTATGGAGATATTCAAGTCTTTTCTTTTCTTCCTATGTTGAAAATTCTGGTTGCTATGGCAACAAATAGTCTGAAAATATGGCAAATTTAACACATAAACTGGATCCAGTGATAACTCAAAAAGTACTGAAAATATTTTTATGGAACTTGAAATATGGGTAGATGGCAGTCTGAAGATTATGCACATCTTTTTCTTTTCTTCCTATGTGGAAAATTCTGGTTGCTATGGCAACAAATAGCCTGAATTTCAAGATTTCTGATTTGAATTTTTCAGCTTTTTCTCTATAAGTTCTTTATTTCTTAAGGTGTTTACTTCAAACTTTAAATATAAGTTTCTGGTCATCAACCACATCATATGTGACAAGGTTTACAACTCTAGCACAAAAATTATCAATATTACCTCCCTTTAACTAAGAATTTTTATGAAAAAAATAATTTCTTTTTTTAAATCTTTATTTCCTAATGTATCTACTTCAAACTTCATATATATGTTTCTTTTTATCACTCAACATTTTTGAGAAGGTTAAATACTCTAGCAAGACTATTTCCAGAATTATGTCCACCTTGAACTTAGATTTTTTTCGAGAAATTGGTACTTTTCACTCCAACTTCTTCATTCCTTATAGGATTTACTTTAAAATCCCACATAGTAATAATATGACAAGGTTGTATAAACATAATTTCCTTACTAGATCGGGAAACTTAACACATTACTGTGATATAGACAAACTTAGAACTCAAAAGATTTAGTTCATTCATGTCATTCGTTCACTGGTAAAATTGAATGGCCAATGGCCCATCAGAATGTTGCTGGGGTTCTAACCGGTAGGGGACTTATGGATTGCTTGCAATACTATGATAATTGCTTGTTAATTTTGATAATTTGCACTAAAATTAGCTGAATATATTATGTTCATGAATAGAATATCCCTATATATCTTTATAATATTCATTCCTTTTAATCAGCTACCATATTCATGTTTATTGGTTTTTTAGTTTTTAAAGGAAATTTTTTTTATTCCTCTCTTGACTTTTCTTTAGTTATCTTTTCTTGTATGTTGGTTTTTGTAACTGTCAAAATATTACTTTAAATACATAATTATCATATCTCATGAAAAAAAAACATGTCCCCACATTTTATTTGTTATAATATTATGGTACTTGTAAAGTTACAAGTTTTGCAAAAACCTTGACTCAGCCTCCATGGTTAAGGGGTAAGAGTCAATGAATTTCTAATCCAGTTACCTCTCTGGTGTGGGTTCAATTCCCGGGTGATGCTTTGGTTGTTCAGTGCGGAGGAAGGTAGTCTAGCACTGGTGTAACTCTCCAGGAACGATGGTTAGGAAACTACCCGCCTATATGACTGAAATACTGTTGGGAAAAGGCTTAAAATGAAACAAACAACTCTAAAGTTACAAGTTTTGCCAAACCCTTGACAAGGATTATGCTACCTTGTAACGGTCATAAATAAATTATGCTACCTTGTAATGGTCATAAATAAATTATGCTACCTTGTAACGGTCATAAATAAATTATGCTACCTTGTAACAGTCATAAATAAATTATGCTACCTTGTAACGGTCATAAATAAATTATGCTACCTTGTAACGGTCATAAATAAATTATGCTACCTTGTAACGGTCATAAATAAATTATGCTACCTTGTAACGGTCATAAATAAATTATGCTACCTATTAACAGTCATAAATAAAATATAAATATATTCAGAAGTGGATGAGGACAGGGTAAAAGTGAATGCTTGTTCACTCAAGGTCCATCAACATTTGCTATACTTTGGTCTCAAACATGTTTAAAAGGGAGCAGTGGGCAAGCGGTTAAGGTGTCTGCTTTCCAACCGGTGGATCATAGGTTCGAGCCCAAATTGCGTCACCACCATGTTTCTTCATATGACACTAGTATTGGTTTGTTCCTGAGGAAGCAGATTGAAAGTGATTGATATAAGTTGCATGTCGTGAAGAACTTGTTTCGCAATCGAGCTGAAATAAATACGTTTAAACCAACCATGTTTTAACTATGACTATAATAATGCATGCACAGCCCCCAAGGCTTGTGGAGGGGTGGGATAGATCAGTGCTTTAAATAGTCTTGAATCTGTATAAAAAAGGAATGTGATTTGTTTTGAAATTATTTTTTTACCCTTAACCCTCCTAATTTGTGTAATAGACTTATCCTGCTATGAATTTGGAACAGTCCATTCAAAGTTTAGAGGGATTTCAGGATATCAAAATACAAAAAACAAGCTACCCACTAGCCTGGTCAGACTGCATGGATAAACCTTTCAGGCTTTGAACAATTATGAATATTAAAATCTATAGCAAAAAAGAAATATCTTTTTTTTTTGAGAATATATTATCTTTTAAGGACATAGATTTGAAAGACTCACATATGCTAGTTATTGCCTAATGCATGATATACATGTACATTTACATGGTATAATATTGATAAGGTTAAATCTACTTAAAGTTTATATTGTAAATTCTTTACTCATTATATCTTGTAACATGTTATCCTATGTATTGATATTAATATTTTGGTTAAATGTTTTGCCCTTTTTATGTACAAACTTTTGTTTTTCTGTTTCTGTGTTTTCCTGAATCTATATGTGTTTTCTTGTGTTTGTGTTTTCCTGATTTTATATGCTTTCCTGAATTGTATATGTGTATTGTTTTACTGATATGTTATATTAGCACATTGTGTTTATTTATACTGTGGATCTTGATATGTGACTTATTTATAGAATGCTATTACAAACTGACAAGGGCAAAAGGGTCAACATTAGCTTTAAAGTGTTAGGCTCAGAATATTTTTGAATATGACATCAACAGTGCCTATCTCAACATTCTGGTCAAATTTTGTTCATTAACGTAAATAAAAGAGTTTAGTATACTTGCTTCTTTTGCCAAATGTAAGTATAATCACCAACTTTTGAACATAATTATTCCTTACTTTGCCCAATGTAAGCTGAATCACCAAACTTGGAACATACACTGTATGCCTTCCTCTGCCCATTAAAGGAATTATTACCTAACTTTGAACATAATATACCTTACTTTGCCAAATGTTAGGATTATCAACAAACTTGGAACATATACCTTATTTTGCCCAATGTAAGCTTATCACCAAACTTGGTTATATTTATTTTGATTTGCCCAATGTAAGGGATAATTACCAAAATTAGTTTATAGCTTTCTTGGTCAAATGGAAAGATAATCATCAAATTGGTATAGCTTCCATTCATGGATATTACACACATTGATATATTATTGTATCTTGTATACGAGTATGTTATTATACAACATCCAGTAGGACTTGTTAATAATTTAACACTGACCATTTTTATAAAATGTATAATTTGATTGACCAAATTCAAAAGCTAACTTATATACTCCAACAATTATAAAATTATGTACCATTGGCCGTTAAAAATAGTAGCAATTAACCTGAACAACTTCTCATTAAGGTAGTCTTACTTTAATGCTTTCCCACCAAAAAATTTTTCAGATCGGCCAATATTTGTTATTTCCAGAAAAGTTATTTTTTCAAAATCTTTCGTTAAAGATTATTTACAATTGCTATGTACTAAAGACTCAGTACATTCAGGTAATAAATGGTTACGAATTATCGAATACCGAAGATTGTGAAAAATAACGTTCCGAAAATAACCGAAATATTACAATATTGGATGTTAGAATTTTTTGGCGGAAAGCGTTACAGTAAGACAACCGTAACCAGTACAATATTTGTTTTGGCTTGTGATATACATTGTGTATGTCAATTGTTAATCTCTAGCTCTATATGTGTTACAGTTGCATAAATTACTATAATAAAACGTCATCTTCATTAAAAGTATAATGTCTATATTAATATTTATTTCATATATTGTGTACATACGTGTAATTGATTAATCATTGATTGTTGTCCATCTAATATAAAATACCTTTCTTTTTTTTTAAAGATGAATATCCAAAAGAGCCCTCTTTAGTGTTGATTTTGAAATGGGGAGGGGAGCTAACTCCTGCTGGCAAATATCAAGCGGAGGACCTTGGCAAAGCATTTCGGACGCTATACCCTGGTGGACAAGGTAATATAAAAGAAATTTACATATTTTAGCCCTTAAACTTCTGAAACCTAAAGGTTTTGCCACCTGTATGTTTATTGCTTATTATTGCAGTCTCACAGTTAATTGTCTGCATAATTATCTTAATCTCCTAAAAATAGATTTTACGAGATATTTTTTCTAAAAATAGAATTTGAACAAGTTAATTTAAAGTGACTTTGTGCCCATCTAATTGTAAATGGTGGATGTACAGGTCAAAGTCAAAATAGCTTTAGATTTTGGCCATGATTGTTTTCTGTTTTATAGTCTAGGTCATGTGTACGGTATAATCAAAAAACCAGATGACTCACAGAAAATTCCATAAATATCCCTGGGATTGTATTGGTAGCACTCAATATATATAAAGAGTGGGCAGTCTTTAATACTTTAGGTAGTTGTTTAATATTTTATCCTGAACATTACAGTTCTTCATTATCAATTATTGGTCGATGACCATTATAAAAGTCAGATGTATAGCCAATTCAGCTGAGCTTGACCAATCAAAAAACACCAAATGTCACTAACATAATGCAGTATGTAGTGAAAGGTTGAATATTTTTAAAACAAAAGTTTACCTTTATCTTTTTAATGTGCATAAAAATTTAAGTCAGATGTTATGCAGATATTCAGGTTTGTTTTTTCAAAACACCATGAAACATTTATTTCCTAAGCAAAGCTGTTGTAGAGAATATTAATTGAGCATAGGTTCAATACTGAATGTATTGAAGAAGTTGAACTTATATTATGCATGCTCCTGGCGAGCATAATATTACTTTGTTCAACAAATTCAAAAAATTTAGTAATGAACCTACCGAATATTCTGTTTATCACATTCCCAAAAAAGAGACTGTTTAAAGTGAAAAAAATAATCATTTTTCATTGTCTTGCCCATAGTGTAACACTAACATTTAGCACATCTTTACGCTATATTTGTATAATGCATTTGACGTCCCTTCAAAATATATGCATTGCTGTGCAATTCCTTTTTTACGGAGTTGCAAAAGGTGATAAAAAGTTAAAATAAAAAGTTAAATCACGGTAACTTTCCTTTTTTAAGAATTTGCAAATTGAAGTCTTTAATACTAAAAAAAAATAATGAATGAATGTAGGGAAATGCCTTATTTTTGGTAATATTTATGTATGTCTACTGTCTAACTTACATAACAGTTCATCTACCCATTAAGACACAAAAAAGGAGCTTTCAAGTAGCAAGTATGGAGCCCAGACACTTTCTGTTTTTGCCCTTAAAGGTTTTATTTTCAAGCACATAGTGGCGGTCATTTATCCCGGAACAATTTCCATAGAGTATTAGCAAAAGAAATTTTAAACAAGAAAGTAGGTCTCAGTACAGTGGTTATTAAGCACCTAAATTTACAGTTACCTTGGACAATAATGAAGTAGGCCATGCCCTGATAAGGGATGTTCATGCAAAGCAAAGTGCCTGCCTTTTAGTCAATCACTGTGTACTGTGGACCCACTCACTCTTGAATTCTTCTTTGTCCTCCCTGACTTTGAAGGGCCACTCCTCACCAATTCAGTCAGGATGGTGGCAGGCAAAATGAGAGAGAGGGGGGGAATATTGTGAGTGCAAAAATAGTAAAATAAGGTACATGCAGTTTTCCATAGGCTTAGCTTCAAATCCTTTGCCAATGCCTTTGCCTCTGAACAGTGTGAACATACAAAGCGGAGGTGGTGGTGGTGTTGGTAGTTTTTACTCTGAATCATAGCAGTAAGCCACATTGAATTCACCAGAGCACAGTTCAACCACCGTATTGTTCCTGGGCAGGCTGTCAAGCAGTTTACCAGTACTAGTTGCCTTCACTTTCGCAAGAGACTTGAAACATCTGTACATACCAGAGCAGAGGTTCACTGCCAATAACCGTAGAAAAGATTTAGGATCAGTGGTAACGAAAGTGACTTGAGCTGTCTGGAAATCGAACTTGGTTTGCTTGATCCACAGTCCAACGCTCTACCTATTGAGCTCACCTGACGGCTCCACATACCAAGGGGAAGAGAAAATGGTAGTACTTATATACTGGGGAAAGGGCAGGGGCTGGGGAGGTGTCAATTAATGTGTTTTTGTTATAAAATATCACTTCAAATGTTATTCATAAACATAAATGATGAGATTCAGATTTCTTTTAATTCTTTTTTTGGCAAAATTGATAAATATCCTTATTTTGCTGGGATATTCTATTACCTCCCTTTAATAATGTAAATGTTTTAGTTATTGCCATATTGGACATCAAAAGCTGTTAATGAATTAAGCCAAATTAGAATTGGATAAACAAAGATAAAAGAATGTTATAGAAATGTTTTGTGAAAAGATATTAATTATTTAAAAACCAACTGTAAAAACAAATACAAAAGTCTTTATATACAAATGTTACTTCTACATGAGATGTTTTTTCTAGCATCTGCAGTGCTGCAGTGCAGGCTTATATTAAAAGTATAACATTTTTGAAAGCTTATAAGGCTCAAATGTACATACTGCAGTATTATGTTAAATGTTTTAAATGCAGGCAAAACTCCTCACTCACCTTTGTAAATAATCATCAGTACTTAATAATGTAATGTACATAAATAAATTACATGATGCATAAATCCAATGTAATCATTTCTTAACAAGTTGCATAATTTAATTTAATTTTAATGAAAACTAAATAAATCAAAAACGATAATCCCTTTAAATTTTATCTATTTTAATCACAAGATTAAAACAGCTGATTAACTTTGCAATGTATTGCAAATCTCCTGTTATATGCCCCGTTTTCTATTCTTATCTATTACAATTGTGAATTCGCTTAAGCCTAAATCAGAATGATGGTCTGTAATCAGGATTGCAGTGTGTAGCATTTGCTGAAAATTTTGTTGGAATTGAATATTAAAAGAATTATCAAACTTAAAAGAAGCCTGTGTACATGATTTATGCAACTGTAGCTCAATAAATGTTGTTATTACCTCCCTTAGATATAGGGTGCGTTTATATATTCATCCAATATGACCTCATTAACTGTTACGATATTAAAATAACAGAGAATTAGGTAAACATAGTTATGAATGGAATGACAAAAAATGTTTTCAGAATTTTTCTATAATTACTTGTAACCCAATTGTAAGCATATAATTAGTTGTTTATATACAATTAAACAATGAAATAGTTACTGTTTAAATTAGCTGCAGCGCTGCAGTAACCACTTTAAAAACTCCTGATTAAAGGGGTTCTTTTTTAGAGGCTTTTAAAGCTACAAATTATAAATTTCAATAAGGTGTTCTATGTAAGTCAGAAACCTCATTTTTTGAGAAATCTGAAGTACTTTAATTTTTTTATATTTAAATGTGAAACTTTGCCTTTGGGTCATCTGAACATCCAACAGAAAATCAACAAACATTGCACAGCAGCCACTGCTGACGTTGAACGTAAAATTCAGAGTTAGACATTAGGATTTGAATCCACTAGGCTGGTCGGACTACCACAATGGAATATTGACTAGCCCAAAAGAAATTTCACTAGCACGATTTATTTGTTCAAAACAGTTGTTTATATTGCCCCTGAAAATACAGTCGCTTGGTCGGGATTGTTACTGTGAAAAGTTGGTAGCCCGAGGAGAAATTTAGTAGTCAGGGGCTATAGGATTACTGCTAATTTCGAACACTGAAAATCCGTAATATATGATGTTTGTAAATCCTCCCACACAAAAAGAAATGTCAGCTAAGTGTGGGGTGTCTCTTGGCACTGTCAACAGAGTAATAGCAAAAATTCTAAAAGCGAAACTCCGGAAAAAGTGCTGTGTTCATAGGCTTAGTGAGACCCAGATTTTGAAATGATTTGCCTAATCATGGCTTCAATATCTCCATATTAACTGTGGGAAATGGAAAAATGGTTAACACCACAGATGAGGCCATGTTTTATAAGCGTTAACACCACAGATGAGGCTGTGTTTTATAAGTGTTAACACCACAGATGAGGCTATGTTTTATAAGCGTTAACACCACAGATGAGGCTATGTTTTATAAGCGTTAACACCACAGATGAGGCTATGTTTTATAAGCATTAACACCACAGATGAGGCCAATTGTTTTATATGGGCAATAGTTATGGTTGACACTTTGTTTGCTACAAACTGAAGCTTGTAAAACAAGATGCATTTGCACTGGAGTTTGTAGTTTGGGATGCGGTTAGTTATGGCAAGACATCTACATGTATATAAAAGGAGTAAAAGTGGATGCAAAATATTACATAGACAAAGTTTCGAAAGCTGTTTCTCACAAAAATGAATGTTTCGCAACTTTTTACTAGAAGAGAGAATGATATGGTATTCCATCAAGACTCAGTCTCTAGTCATACTGCTATAATGACCCAAACGCAAAGTGAATTACATAACACCTGCAGAATGAATACCAAAAATCCCAGATGCAGCTCCCATGGACTTTGGTATCCGTCTATCTGGGGTATACTGAAAACGTAGGCAGTATAGAGACGCAAGATTTATACCATGTCCAGTCTTAAAGGGACTCCACTGAGGTTTAAAAGTCTAAAAACATAACATTTAAATTTCTTACATAAATGAGCTGGGGCACTTTAAACAGTTATAATTATATGCAAAGATAGTTAAGAAATATATTTTGAAATAAATTGAAAATCGTTTTTTTATGCTTTTCTGAGCCTAATTTGAGTGAAAAGCGTTTAAACGCTTTTCAGTTTTGGTCACTGTTTTTACAATTTTAATAATATTCCTGGAAAAACAGTGTGCGTGATTATGACAAAGATTAGTGGTCTTAACCTACATCAAATGGTACATTTATCTGGAAAAGATATTTTCAGTCCCATCATGTCAAAAAACCTCAAGTGTAGTCCCTCTAATAAGAAAAGTCTCTCAAAGACGAATGGAACAAACTGGAACAGTAATGCATATACCTAGTCAAAATATATTGATGTGCCAAAGCTAGATACTGAGATATTTAGTTCTGGGTCAGCCAAGATA